GGCCTATTCCCAGCTTCTATCTTCCCTTTGCAGATATCAATCAAATGCTTCAAAAAGAAATCACTCCAACCTGTCACCCATTCTTGAATCAAACAAAGCAATTTTTTCAGACTTTCTAAATTACCATAATACCATGCCATTATTTTTAACATACACACAGCACACGGTACTGAATAAATAACATGCATCGAACCATTTATCGGAGATTGAGTTACCTACGTTGTAGATCCGGTCACTGGAGGCGTAGATCCATGAAGTTGAGGCCGTTGAAAGGGGTGCCGACCGTAGGTGCTGTGGCTGGGCGCGGTTCACTCGCGAGCTGGTCAGGGCCGAACCAGAGCGGAGAGGAGCGAAGAGGACCAATCCCGGGCCGAACCAGAGCGGAGAGGAGCGAAGAGGACCAATCCCGGGCCGCAGCAGAGAGGAGGGACGGGGCGGGGCCGGCGACTCCGGGGGCCGGCGAGGAGCTGGGCAGGGCTGGCGAGCACCCGGCGGCAGGGGTCCTCGTTGGACCAGAGAGGTCAGGACGGGGCGGGGCCGGCGATTCTCGGCAACGGAGAGGACTGGGACGGCGCTGGAGAGGACTGGGCGACGCTTGAGGAGGCCGGGGCACGGCCGGTGAGATGCGCTGCCGCCAAACCCTAGCTCCGCCTAGGCGTCACCACTTGCGGATGGACGGGCTCGGAGTCGCACGGAAGGGAAGAGAAGGAAAAAAAATGAAACGTTTTCTTCATAACCGATGGCAGTGTGGATAATTTCGTTGAAAGTGAACCCCCCCCCCCCACACACACACATACACAGCCGGTGAAAGCAGCCTCTCCCAGCTGTGAAAATTGAACTACGTAAAAGCTAGCTTTTCTAAAAGCTATTGGGCCAACGTTGCCCTTTGGTTAGCTTTTGGGTTTTTGGGAGCAAAAGCTAAAGCCAAGAGCTAAACCAAACACCCAATGGTGCAAATTATCGACGTAGCAGCTGGCCGGTGACTTTTGGCGCTCCTAGGCTGTGATCCAATGTTGGTCGTACCGCCGGCACAGACAGTGACGTAACAATACCAAGGGTCGATGAAATTGACGCAGATGGTGGACAGGGAGCGGAGTGGTGCAGGGGCAGAGTTGCTACAGCTGCTAGAGAATACACAATTAAATTTGCTAAAAAAATACACAATTAAAGTAAATCAACTTCTAAATAGTGATTCAGATTGTCTTAAATATGACTAAATCTATAGAAAAGAGCACCAACATTTATAATATCAAATTAGAATAGTTAGAAACACGTGGACTTGTACGATGTGATAGATATTGGTAGTCTTTTCTATGGAACATTTGGTTTAAGGGTAGGATGGGACCAAGGAGGATATTTAATTTTTTAATGGTGTTTGGTTCAGAGGCATCGAGACGCAGCGACCCTAATTACTAGGGAATATTTCCTATAGATCATGAGCCAACTTGTTCTCAAAATTTTGTTGGACACGAGGTCTACCCTAAGGATGAGCGCTCTCGGCAGTGCCGGTCCTAGGATTTTGACGATCTCATCGCAACGGTCCCTCTTAACCATGTATAAAATCTTATAATATATAGGCACTAATTTTAGTTACAAAACGAAAGCAAATTCAATAACATATTTTTAATTTAACATGTCTGATAATTATCGAGGAACAATATAGATTAAGCAATATATTTATAGATGTATGATAATTATCGATGAACAATGTAGATTAAAAAAATATATATTCGTTTTCTTTTCTCACCCATGACAAATGTTTTTTAGATAACATTCTAAAATTTTAACACCTAAATTAGAAGAAAAATATGACTATATGGGTACAAAGTACTAGAAGTCTAAAATACTATACAAATAATTAATTTGGATTAAAAAGAAAAAGAAAAAAAATACCTTTGACCTAAATAATTGATCGGTGATCGCAATTCATAAGAAGCCAAGAATCAAGATGTCGTCATCGTGGAGCCCTGCCTGGTCGCCGTCCTCGTGCGCCATGTCCGTGTCTCCGGTAGTCTAGCTCTTCGTGGCGGCGCGGCTCGCCAGCTCCGCGTGTGTAAGGCGCACATCGCGAACTCACGATCAGAGTGTGTTGTGTGCAGCATGACTTCTCGCCTCCTCTCTACCCGATGGCCGTGGGGAAAGAAAACTAGAAAAAAATACCGATGTTGTCTTTTTGGCTGCCTGACCAGTTTTATGTCTCTCTTATTATTAATTTGCTAATACCCAATGGATTATAAGACCTGGGGGTTTGTATACTTGGGCTTGGGCCCCTCCTCCACTTGGGCCCTAGGCCGTCACACCTCGTGCCCTACCCCTAGGGTTGGCACTGTTGGCACGAGTGCATGGCCGTGCAAGAAGGAGAGGTGTGACAATGGGTGTGTAAGTGAGAAGAGGACGCACCAGCGAGGTCACCAAGGTCGCCAGGGCCGTGGGTGATGTCATGAATTTGCTAGCACGTTGGCGACGCCGTTGAGGCCACTACACCGCGACTGAGGTTGCCAGGCCACGTGCGAGCGCAACAGGGCCTCGAACCCAAATGAGCTTAGCCTGACATGCAAGGACCCTTCGCAACATGGTCCATACTCAAGCTCTAGGTCTCCGTGGCAGGTGTGAGAAAGAAAGAGGACGAGGGTCGTGCTCAGCCTCCCGCCATGAGAAAGAGGGCGAGGGGACGACTGATGAATGTCGGCCATGGAAAGGAAGAGGCACGCATGGGGAGAAGAAGAATGGAAAAGTAGAAGTAAGGCGGACACATGGGCCCTATTTGTTATATGCTCATCCCACCTTCCAATGTCTTAAAAACAAACACAAAGCATAGATGATTCGCTCAGGCTAGCGTCAGGATGCCCGCGCCTGCTGCGCCTGCCCGCGCCCCCGCGTAGGCATGCTGATGTGCTAGCCCGCACGCCTGCTTCACGTGGGGCCCACGTCACTCCGTGTACCGCGCCCACACCGTGTCCTACGCCACTCCATGTCCCGCGCCACACCGTAGCCCGTGTCGCTCCGTGTCCAACGACGCTCCGTGTTCCATGCTGCTTCGTCTCAATCTGCGCCCGCACCGTTTTCGCGCTTGCCGCTCGCACCCCCCCTCCACACCTAGACTCATGCAGGTGAGTTCCAGCAGCTGCAGCAAGCGGTTGCTATAGATGGGTCCCACAACAACATGTGCAACACCAGATCTACTTTTGCAATATCTAGATGAAACACTTGGAACATACGTCCAAAACAGTTGAAACACTTGCAACATACGTAACACCAAGAAACATGTGTGTAGCCTTTGCAAAAAAATATGCAACATCCGGATGAAACACTTGCAACATATGTGCAAAAACATATGCAACATCCGGAGGAAACACTTTTAACATATGTGTGAAACATATGCGACACCTAAATAAAACACATGCAGCATACGTCTGAAACAACTGAAACATTTGGAATAATACACTTATAACATATGTGTAGCCATGGCAACATATGCAACATCCACATAAAACACTTGTAACATGCATATGAAACACTTGAAATATACGCTTGCAACAAGCGCTTTCAGTGCAACATCGTCTTGCTGCTTGGGCGAAATGTGGCTAGTCGACGCAGAGCTCGACGCCAACACGAAGCTGGATGCCACGGAGGTTGACAGTGCGGAGCTCATCGGCGTGTGGACCTCGGCGACACAAAGCTTGCTGGCAACACGCGGCTCGCAGGCGGCAGCGCGCAGAGCTCAACGACGATGCATGGATGTCGGCGACGTGGAGCTCGCCGGATCACTGGGCTCTTCGGCGGCAGCACGTGCAGAGCTCAGTGGCGGGTGGCTGCACGAGTTCGAGATGGGGAGGAGATGCACAAGCTCTATGACATCCTTCCTCCCTATTGCTTTGAATAGAGAGACAGAGGAGAGAGAGACAACATGGAACAAGAAAGGATAAGTCTAAGTGGCCACCTGAGTATGTGGCGGGAGTATCAGATATTTATGTGGTGGGTACAATACGTGAACATCGTGAGACCATGTAGCATTCGGCTTTTGGACGCGGGACGGACTCTCGTGCTGTAGTAGTATCGTAGACGACTCCATCCTCTCCCAGTCAAACAATAGATGGGGTGATCTTGTCCCTCAAAATTTTAATGGGATTGTCCCATCGCATATCAGTCTCCAAACCAAACAATATATCCGTAAAACTTAAAATATTATATAACTTTAGATGCCACTAAAGGTTTATTCATTTTAGGATGGACGGAGAGAGTACAATAATGGTTGTTGAGTGCCTAAGTCCCTCAGTTAGTCGGTTTGGGCATGAAGTGCACTATATTTTCAGCAAGTTTACATTTTGTCTTTTCAGCAAAGTTCATTTTAGTATACATTTAGATACTTTTTGGCTGGGCTTCAAAAGGCTTGGACTTCACCTATATTTTAGCACACACTCAAGGTACTGTCACATAGTTTTTTTTAAAAAAAAGGTACTGTCACATTAGCTATTTTCTCTCATCAAATGGAGTAGAATTCAGGGAATGCAGTTCTTTTTCTTCACCGGCTACGGCTTCATATATATGGTACTATAACAATAGTTGCCACGGCTTCCTATGGTAGAAGTATAACAATAAACTAATAAATCTGTTTTAAGCCCTTTCGAAAGAGGGCCTAACAGACTAGAAACAGTAAGTTAGTGAGTGCACATGTATGTTTATAAATGTCTGCGTAAAAAGGGATAACTTCATTTGTATAGAAACAAGGATTTGTCTTTAGATAAGTACTCGCATATTATGTTGGAAGAAGTTATTTGTAAAAGGAGTAGGAAACAAGAATTGGATAGCAGCCGCATATTATGAAGAAGTTATTTAGCGGCGGACACATGATTCTGGTTATTATATAGGACGTGGAAATCACCTCACTGATGGAGAAACAAGAGTTGGATGGCAGTAAGGCACCTGGCTGCCGCATATGCAGGAGGAAGTTATTCAGCGGCGGACGCATTATTCTGCATGTATAGGACGAGGAGATCACCTCACTGATGGAGAAACAACGCCCAGAATCCAGCGCCGACGGTTCCGGCCGCCATCAGATACACCAAGAAACTGACGGCCAGCGGCATCAGCGGGGCAACCTTGCAGGCGAACATGGCCGTGAGCAGAGTCGTGAGCAGGCACACCGCCACCTTGGTCCTACCCCTGTCCCCTAGCCCGCGCTCGAATTTGCGCAGGAAGTGGAAGAGCAGCGCGGTGGAGGCGTAGGCGCCGGCCACGAACGCGGCAGAGCGCGGGTCGTCCCTTGATCTGTACGCGGCGAGCACGGAGGTGCCCGTCAGAGCGGCGGGGCCGAGCTTGGCCAGCACGCCGTGAGGGTAGAGCTCCATCTATCGATTTCTGGCACGCAGCGTGCTCACAAGGAATTACCTGTTATAAATTCGTGTGAGTCGTTATAACAGATTGTAATTACACTGAAAAAATTCGGTGGTGTTACTTTTTTTTTTTTTTTTTTGCCTTCATGCCACGCCCCGGGCTGTCAAATTGCAGGTATAAAAGGTCAAAAATACCCCTAGATCTAAATATGTCATTAATTTTTTTGAGCATCTTAATGACTTTAAACGAAAAAACTCAGAACTAAAAAGTTGTAGATCTCGTCGAGATCTACAATTTGCATATAAAAATTATATTCATTTAATTTCAAAAAAAAGATATGATTTGATTTGATTAATATATCTTAGAAAAATCATATCTTTTTTTGTGGTATTAAATGAAGATAATTTTTATATGAAAATTATAGATCTCAATGAGATCTACAACTTTCTAGTTTTGAGTTCTTCCATTTAAAGTCGTTAAGATACTCAAAAAATAAAGGGCTCTTACAGTTTTACCCATATTTTGTATCGAAATTGTGATTTTGTCCATGTTTTTTTGACTTTGTGAATTTACCCATGTGATTTCAAAACGAAGCACCAGTTTGCCCCTAGTCCGTCAACCTCCCCTAACGGTGTTAAATTTTGTATAAAAGGACAGAAATGTCCATATGATTTTACCCTTGTTTGTTATGCCTATTTGTGATTGTACCCCGATTTACAATTAGACTTTTTTATTGTATGTTGATACAAATGATTAAATTTGGCCAAATATATTTTTGGCACAACTAGCAATTATTTCAACTCAGATTTAATATTGAAAAAAAACATCAAAATTTTGGCAGCAATGGCACCTTAGCTCCGGGGCCTCCCTCTTCACCCCTTGTGTGTGGACCCAGCAATGGCTGACCCCCACGCGATCACGTCCCTCTCAGGCATTTTCTCAAACACCCTCACCGCGAGCTTCACCTTTCCCGCACTTGAAGTAGACGTCGTGTGCGTGGCGGTGGCCATGGTCATCGACGGCCTGGCGCTCCGGGAGATGGACTTGAGCACGCAGCCGTACGTGTACTTGTTGGCGTGGCCCCCATGGCGCGCGTCTCCCCGAACGCTTCGGTGGCGGGGGCCGCTGCCTCGCCGCGTCCTCGGCGGACGTGCCCGTGCAGAAGCGCGTTCCACGAGTAGGCAGTCGCCCTCGCCTAGTGCTGGTGCATCTCGTCGAGCACCCTGCGTGCGTCGGCAGTGGCGCCCAGTGTGAGGTCGATGAGCCTGGCGAGGAGGTACTCATTGGTGTCCAGCCCGTGGACGTGGAGGTGCGCGTGGATCTAGTGCACGTGCAGGAGGGAGCGGCAAGCCGAGAGGAGCGCGGTAAAGGCGGTGGCGGTGGCCGGGACGCAGGATTGCAACCACGTGGCTATCTGCGCACCTTGACGCCAATCCTGTGCCCAGAAGAACAAGAGGCGGGCGCCCTTGAGCCGCACCAAGAAGAAGAATGGCGGGCGGCAGGAGCCGCCAGGAGTCGCGGCCGGGCACCGCGGACACCTGCTGCCAGGCACTGCCGCTGCCCGCTCTCGATGCCGCGCCGCCTGCTCCGAGATGCCGTGCCGCCCGCCCCCGCGCACGGTGCCCGAGCCCGCTCCGCGCCGCCGCACCGTGCACCCTTAGCCGCACTGCCGCCAGACACCACGTCGCCCTACACCACACGAGCTTGCATCGCACCGCCGCCCGCTCCTAGTGGTGTGTATTTGGACGAGTCGAGGAAGAGCCAGAAAGAGATAAGGGGCACTGCGGTCATTTGGCATTTTCTTTTCAGGTTTCAAAATTTTTTAATCCATCTATTGCCTGAGTATTTGACGGACATCCAAAAGAGAGCTAGACGGACAGTTCAATTCAAAATAACGAGGGTAAAAACATAAAGTTGAAAAAACAGAGGCAAAATCATAATTAAAGTGCTGGACAAAGGTAAGAACATAATTTTTGCAAAAAATAATGGCACGTCTACTCCATCTGCCGCTTTTCTGGCACGCGGCGTGCAACCTGGAGGCTGGAGCTACACTACTACACCCAGCGTTTCGACTTTCGACGCAATGGTAGCCATGCTTTGCTGTCGACGGAGAGAACAAGGTCATGTTTGTTCCTGATTTTTAAGGACACATGTTCACTGGTTGGTGCTGGTCCTGGTTTGGACTAGCTGGTGCTGGTTTTTTGTGAGAGAAAAACACTATTAATTGGTTGGTTTAGGTTAGATGAAACCAACGAGCGAACAGGCCGCTGGTATGCGCCGCCGCTGCGACTATGGACGAAGCCAATTCCTGTCTGCTGTCTCCATAGACCACAGACCAGCAACAGCAAAGCCGCCGGCTGCATGCCGCTGGTGCCCACTGGCCATTGGCCACTGCCCACTGCGCAGCCGTGTATTGGCTACGTACTCAATTACCGGAAGGAGTGCGCTGACTGAACCCGCAGCATCACACCGAGAGCACGAGAGGAAAACCCATCTCGCAAAGCTCCTGATGAAACAAGGAACAGAATGCCATTGCAGTGAACAAGTTTTCGAAGTTCCACTGCAAGTTTTCCTCCAAAACTGTGACACGCATGTTTGCCAAAAAGTTTTTCTACAAACTTGTCCGCCAAAAGTCGGAGCACAGAAAAATGGCCTCATATTAGGAAAGGCAAATCCATGCGACGACACAGATGGAGCAGCAGGTGAACTGAAAAGAAAATGTAACGTCGTCATAAACAGCTGAACCAGCGTGTTCCTGAGTCAGCATCCCTTGACATGGCCGTGACCTTGTTCGTCCTGGCACTGGCAGAAGAGGGAAAACAGAGAGATGCAAAAAAAGAAAAAGAAAAAAAAAGATACATATGAATGGTCAGATACGCCTATGACATGCATGGCCTTAGCAATAACGCACTCATCAGTCATCACTGGCTGGCGGCTTCTCAGTTCTCAGGGGCCAATAAACAAGGCCCAGAACCCACCACCGGCCGTCGCCAGAGCCACCACCCAGACGGCGACGCCGACGATTGGCGGCATCAGCGGCGCCACACGCGAAGCGAACATCGCCGTAAGCAGCGTGGTGAGCGCCCAGACAGCGGCCTTGGCTTTGCCCCTGTCGTCGTCCCCAGGTCGCGCGCGCTCGAACTTGCGCAGAAAATGCAGGAGCAGCAGCAGCGCCGCGTTGGCGGCGACCACGAACAGCACCGAGGCCACGTCGCCCCAGGACCTGTAGACGGCCGCGGCAGAGTTGCAGGCGAGGACGCCGAGGCCTAGCATGGTCAGGAGCGAGCGGCCATTATCGCCGCCGCCGTCCATTCGTAGCGTGCCACCGTGCCTGAGGCCGCCTGAGCCAGCTAGTTCCCGACGTGAGCTCGTACATAGGAATTTCGCAAGATATATGCTTTATACTACGCCGCGGAATGCACTCCTTTGTGGCTTTGTTTCACGCGAGGGTGGGCCTGGATTCCTCGTTCGGTGTGAACGCGGCTAAATAAGGTTTTTGTGGAGTCTTGTGCTCATTACTCAATTATATGGCCGTTTATTTCGTCAGATTATGCTTGCTCTTTCGGTGACTTAGTCTAATGGTGCCGGACTGACATTGACAACTTCTCGTTGTTTTTCAGTAGGTACCGCAATGGACGGCAGTGAGCCTCCACTGAAAAAGTCAAGGACAAACGAGCCGGACCACCAGCGTCTGTTTTTGCAGGTAACTGGTACCTTCCTCTGGTGTCAAAAGTATATACCGGCGCCGGCCCACGCCGGGCTTGAGGTGGATACGTGAAATCGTAATTAGGCCGGTCACCGGTGGCCGGTGGAAAGGGAGTGTCAGCTGACTTTTGACGCTGTCATTAACCATAGTTGTTACGCTAGGACCGAATCGAAGATCGAACCGGTAAAGGTCTCGGTTCATAGTTTGATTGGTTCAACCGCCGGCTTAATACAGTTCAAATAGGATCGGTCAGACATGTATATCAATATCAATGTCACAAGCATCCACATAGCTCAGTGGTGTTGCTTGAGTTCGAATCACTTCCCCTTCATTTTCATCACATTTTTACAGCGTTTTCTCCTCCCTCCCTCCTCTCTTTTACACCGTTTTCTCTTCCATCCTCCCACGGGACCATGTTTCTGCTCGAGTATTACGTTGTGCTCAGTCCTGGCTTTTACAGTGTCCCTCCTCCCACGTCACCATGTGTTCGTTTTCTCCTCCCTCCTCCCACGAGACCATGTGCCTGCTCGAGCGTAGCACTCAGTCCCGGCTTTTACAGCGGCCCTCCCACGTGATCATGTGCCTGCTCGAGTGTTGCACTCAGTCTCGACTTTAATTTTACAGGGGTTCCACTCCCAGTTTTTAAGTGGTTTTCACTGGTTACGCAATAAAAGTCGGTGGTTCAACTAATTTTTCCTGGTTCAATTGCATCGACGATCTTTAAGCTGGACTGGACCGATGGAGGCTCTAGTTTCGTTTTTTTCTGGTCGAACCGCCGGTTCTGTCCGATTCCAATAACTATGCTATTAACCCATGTTCACGCACAAGTTATAAACATTATATGTTAGTTTAGTTATTAGTGTATAATACCTACAAGTAATGAAAATACTTGTACTCATTTGCACCTTTTTCTGTTGTTCAATTATTGATCTATATATTTTTTTAATCAATATCTATAGCTTCTTCTTTGCATTTCACCCTCTATATCTTCAATATGCATGCGTTTAGTTAAAAACTTAGCTCAAACTATGGTGGTTCTTGTTGCGACCTATATCTCCCGGTGTCATGAATCTAGAATTTTTTTAACGAATGGGCATGAGTGTGTGCCTATTTCATTGATGCAGAAGATTAAAAACGATGGCATGTTTTAATGGAAAAATAATATAAAAGTAGGCTTTGTTGCGATACAACCAAATAACTGTGAGCCGTTCATTTGTTTCGATCGAACGGTCACGATCATTTATTACCTCCTAGCTAGGAGGTAATATATGAAATATATATATTTATTTAATTTTTAATTTTAGAAAG